TATGTATGTATATATGTATGTATATGTATATATATATGTATGTATGTATGTATGTTTTTTGACAGAGATGTTAATTCAGACTCAGTCATACCTTTAAAAGATTTAGTGGCAATGAGAGGTGCAGAAAACATAGGAGAATACTATGAAAAGGCAAAGCGTGATGATAAAGTATCAACTGACTGGAGGGTTAAAGGAGCTGTGGCTCATAACACATGACCATGACTCCTGTTCCTGAATAAAATATTTTTTTAGGTACTGAGACTAAAAGATGGAAGTTTTTTTTTTTTTTTTTTTAACACAAAGAAGGAAATTGGGATGATGCTTGCTATTGAACTCTTTTGAGTGTTTTTTTTTTTAAACAACTCTCGTTAAACATTATGGCTGAAAAAAATACTTAATGCTAAAAATAGTTAGATATGTGTCACAGAAAATAATAAAAAATTCAAATCACTTCACACATTGTTGAAATGTAAAACATCTGCGAGTTTGTTTGTGTAAAATACACAAACCAGTGAGCTGTTGCCTGTCTGAGATTTCACATCGTCACTTTTCTCAAGTAGAAAAACAATCTTGACCCAGACATTTTATCACTGACACCGTCTCTGTCTAACCTTTCTTTATAGGGATAATCTATCCAAGATTAAATCTTTCATTTTACAGTCTGCAATGCACTACTATTTTGAAGATGGTGGGTTTTCAGGTTGACCTTTGGGACTTCTGAAGTTTTGTTTCTCAGTCTCAGATTTAAAACGTCTTCTAAATGTTTCCAGATATACGATTTAACCTATAAGTCCAAAAGATTTTGGATTAAAGTGTGACATTAAACTTTTTCCAGTCTTTCTTTCCATGTACTTCCAGTTGTTGGCCTACACATATTCAATATGAATGGGAAAATAAAGTAAAATTGAGCTTTTGTTCATGGAAATATGTTCTTCCTTTTGCAAAATGGTAAGAATTTGAAGTACAGTTTTATTTTTGTACATTTTATTAAATCTACGCAATAAAGTAAGAACCCCAGACACCATGTCTGCTTGAAAATCCCTTTAACTTTGACCAGTTCTCTGTACTATGAAGCAGAATTATTAGCTTATCAAGGTAACTTCAATATAATTCAGGAAATGCAGTGTTGAAGCAGGTTTTCTACCTGGGTCTGTTCCTACAGTGAATGGAAACACACCTTGCTCTAGTTATTGTCCACATTGAAGCCCCAATACTTTGGTTTCAGTAACTGGTTCATGTTGATCTCTCTCATAATTGTAGGTGTAAATGTTTGCTGTACCCCAGACTCATGTCTGAACTTATGAATACTATGAAGATACACCATTATTTCATACAGACAGCATGCACTATGAGGGATGATGGCAATCAGATAAAGGGAATTAATTTATTTTATTTTTTGTAGTTTGAAATAAAGCATCTTCCGTCATGGTCTTGTTAGATTTGCTTAATTGGCTATTATAATAAAACACATACAGTGCATTAAATGGTAAATGGACTGTACTTATATAGCACCTTTCTATGTTATCAAGACACTCAAAGCTCTTTACACTACAACCTGTGCCCTCATTTACCCATTCATACAGCACTCTACTAGATCTCTACAAAGCTAATTGAACAAATCATTCTAAAGAGACTAATCAGAGCTTTATCACATTCATACACTGATGGGACACACATCGGAGGCAATGAGGGCTTCAGTGCGCCTTGCCCAGGGACACTTCGTCATGTGACTGCTGGTGGATTCGAACCCCCAACTCTTGTATTGGATGACGACTGCTCTAACCAGTCAGCCACAACCGCCCGCTCATTTTACAGCCTGCTCTGCACTATTACAATTACAATATTAATGTAGAGATCAGCAATTGGTTTATCTTTATCACCAGCACATTCATTTGATCTGAACAGGTGCATGACGACTAGAATTTTACTGACAGAGAACGATTTATTGTTTGTGCTTGCTATGTTGACTTGCTTTTCACAAATGTCAGGAGTGATAGCAGCAGAGTGGGCTCCAGATGACCCAACGATCATAATTTAAGGTGAAACTTCTATTCACTTATTCAGTCAAAACTGAAAACACATTCGTATCCACAATATTCATCATAATCTTCATTCGCAATGAATAAATGTCCATAACTTTTGTGGAGAATTAAAAAAAGAAACAGTTTTAAGGAGCATCATAGTGTAAGTTCTTTAGAATACCAATAATCAGATTAATTGTTTTTACACTGCAAACAATGACACACACTATGAAAAACATGGGATGTTGGAGGATGTGGGTGCTGTTATTAAAAAAGTCACAACTTTCAATTTTAAATTAAATACTTTCTATTTGAGTCTTGTGTTTATGTCACATCTGAAGAACTTGCTACTTTTAAAACTTTGTCTAAAAATATGTAAAACTTGGCCCGTATTCCAGGAGCACCTCAGATCCATGACTGAATTACTGACCTGTACTACTGAGTAAAAGAGATATCAGAGGAGCTTCCACTGGAGGCTTCAGATCAGTCAGCTCTAATTAATAGAAATTAGTGGGCAGCCCAAAGACCCCTCTAGACATGCAGGCAGGCATCCATTTTGCCTGTCTATTAATAGATCTGCTTGGCAGAGCAGGGCACTTGGACTAGAGCTCAGCAAGAATAAGTTTCACCATGCGCTGCAGTTGTCTGAGGAAAACGAGGACGGGATACAAAATGTGCTACATAGAGGTCAACAGATTAAGGTTTATTAGATGATTCTAGTCCTTAGATATCAGGACAGCTGATGGGCAATTTATGAAGCAGGTTTGTTTTAGGCACATAAATACAACAGTGATGAGTTCATACACATCTATTAGATATTAAAAACAAGCAAAAAGTGATGTTTGTTTTTACATGTTTTGCAGTTTATTGAATGCAGTTCAAAGCATCAAGTTATCCCTTTTTAGTCTCTAAAAGGAACATTTTCTAACCAATAAATTAAAAATACAAAGCTCTCAAATAAAAGACATTCTTTTAAATATTAGCATAAAACTCTGGCCAACTTTCTTTCACACCTGTTCCAAAAAATATCCCTCCCCTGTTAAATGGACCACAGTCCTGGGAGGTGCATTGACAAGAGTGCAGTGTCAAATTTAACAAGGCTGCAGGCTGATGTACCTGCCTTTTAAGCAGATTGATTGTTAGACTACCAGTTTGCAAACAATATTTGCATAAGAGTCTCTGAACTGTCGTTCAATGTTTGCAAGGGATTTTCTTTTTGCTGGTATGAGTTAAAGGCTTAGAGACTTGGCACTTGAGAAATAGTCACTAAGTTGTTGTGGGTGTCTTGAATCCATATAAAACACTTCTCAGTTTTTCAAAGTTCACGCTCAACAATCCAGGTAAAATAATCCAACAAAGGTAAGTCAGATCCTCTGGACGTTTTTTTTGTGTTGAAATGTTTTGTCTTTCATCCAAAGGACTTCATAAGTCCGAGGAGCCACAACAAACTCAGTCCCATAAGTAGCTTACTCACATAGTGGGTTATGTGAGTTTATGTTTTGAACAACTTTGGGCATGGCTGCCTCAGAGGAGCCGATGGGGGAGATGGTGGACTCCAGAGACCATATTATCACCATCAAACTGGTTGGCCCACTATGTGAGTGTGTTGCTTATGGGACAGAGTTTTTTGTGGCTCCTCAGACTGATGAAGTCTTTGGATGAAAGACGAGATGTTTCAACACAACGAAACCGTCCAGAAGACCTGACTTAACTTTGTTAGACTTCTCAGTTTAGTTTGTATAGTTCTTGAGTGCTAGTGCTGTATTTTGACATGTGCACAAGAGCTCTTCCTATGGCAAAAAACATCTGTCTGACTACAGTGCTGGATGTACAGGTCTAACCATCCATCCATCCATTATCTTTACCCACTTCTTTCTTTTCGGGTCACGGGGGGCCACTGGAGCCCATATCCAGCTATGTGCGAGACGTGGAGGACACCCTGGACAGGTCTCCAGTCCATCACTGGGACACATATAGACAAACGAGACAAACAACCATTCACTCTCTCACTCACACCTAGGGACAATTTAGAGTTACCAATCAGCCTAACATGCATGTTTTTGGTCTGTGGGAGGAAACTGGGGTACCCGGAGAAAACC